TATACTCTAAAGGTAAACTGAGTAAAATGCAATAACAACTTATGTTTTAATGTAAATTACAGTTAATTGTTACAATAATTAATTAATTAATTCATTTTTTACTTTTATAAATAGATCAGTTGAATGAAATTTTCATACATACGGAATTAGCTGAAGCTCTGCCCTGCTGTCTCCAAATTTAGTTCTATAGAGAAGAGCTGCTATATTAATGGCATCATGTTTGGTGACTTTGTGGTAGCCTACAAATATAAGATTTATATAGTATAACAAGGGATTCTGATTTAAAAAGTAACACAGGAAATGGATTTTAATCACTTGAGAATCAATGAATAAAAATACGTAAGTTGGCTATATATCAGCCAATATTTATTCAGTTATCAGAAATGGCACATCAGTGTAATATTTCATCCCTGCATGTTTACTTTATACAACAATAAAACAAAAAGTGCTCATGGATGTTACTGTTAAAGAATGGGACAAAATACAGGACATAAAATGGAAGAAACAAGAAAAGAAAAAAACATACACAACAGAAATTGACAAAATGTAAGTTATGAACCGTAAAATGCGAGTTTGAAAAAAGCTGACAACCTTCTAGTACTCACCTCTCAGATATTTTGGCATTTCCTGTGGAAAGTGGAATATAAGATCAGCATTTTTATCCTTTCCAGGGACTGTATTAAGCCACAATTTCTTCATAAAAAATATCTGATACTGGTAATTAACACCTCCAGCTATAATAAATTAATTACATCACAATATAATTATAAAAATAAAACCACTTATTCTTTTATTTTTTCTCTCATTCACTCATATATCATGTAGGGTATGAAGAGTGAGCCAATTCAAGGCTGCACTGCCACAGAGATACTCTCACTGCAATTATAACAAGGCCTATATATATGTGTTGCTTCTTCAATATTAGTTTGATTTAAATTATTCACTTTGCCATTAGTTTGAGTACTGTTAATTTTCACATATGTTTTCACCATGCATTTCTGTCCTGTTAAGTTTATATATAATTTATATGGTTTCTTCAAAATACATACAGCAGATGGTTGACTACATTTTTATAGCAAAACAAACAGTTTATAAAATTTAAGTTTTACCTGACATTTGGTGTACAAATATTTTGCTGCCAAATGTTAGATACTCACTGTTCTGGAAACTGTTTGATTTAACTCATTATTTTAATCCAGAATAGGGCAATTATTTTAATCCAGAATAGGGCACATCTGATGATAAATTGGTATATCATCATATTTGATGATTCAGTTTATACAAAATATTTTTAAATATAACTGGACTTAAACTAAACTTAAAATATCATATTTATAGTGATGGGCAAGTATCTGCAAAACTGATACTTTCATTATAAATTGATCTTCACTGTATTTACATTTCAAAGTAGTTTTTTCTTACCACTACGTGATGGCCGTGCCTTCTTCATCCAGTCAGTAAGCAGGCGGACAAAATCAAAAAAGAAATCTCCTTCAGGGACAGAGAACACCTTATCCCATAGCTTCACAAACAAGCTAAAACCTTCACTTGTGCGTAGATCCAACCGTTCTGATATAGTCTGACACAAGTCTCTAGCACGGGTAGCAGAATCCACTTCAAAAGCCTTGGAATGAAGAGAAGATAGTTTAAAAACCAAACCTGAACACAAAGTTCTTGGTTATTTTGTATGAATATTTAAAAAAAAACAGTAATACTTTAATAAACCCTACAGTTTATAGTAAACAACTCTGCTACTGTCCTTCTTGGTGCTTGAAAAAAACCAAAACAGAATGAACCCCCAGAGTTTCAAAATAAAAACCAGATAAGAATAAAGTCCAACATAACTCTTCTCTCCTGAGGAGCTGATGTAGTTCTTAGGATTACTCAAACAAACAAAAGAAATAAGTCCCAAAATAGAATGTTACATTGACAGTCTGTCTATGAAACAATTTTTAATCATAGTTTCAATGTTTATGAAGGTGGATTCTTACCCCACAGTATCGCTAAGATGTAATTTAAAACCAACCCATATGAAACCTGATTTAACATACCTGCAGCTTAGAGATCCACCCAGGGTGAGAATCAGACACAGACTGCTTACAGAAACCCAAACTCTGTACAAGGCAAAGCCAGACACTTGGTGATCCACCAAGGTTCATGAAGCATGATGGGAAAGGTACAGATAAACTACTCATCTTACTCGAGCCATGGAGCATGGCTCACAATCATACTCTAATTACCTCATCATTGTCATCAGGGAAGTAGACCTTGTGGAAGATCTGAGTGGACTTATGCTGGATAGCTTCAACTTCGACTTGGTGAGGTGGATATTTCCTCTGACCATTCCTGAGAATTCTATGAATGCGGTGCAAAGAATCTCGTGCAACAGGATGTTGACGAGAACGTAGAAACTGTGTTAGTTCCTGAAATAATAAAAAGTTAAGCATGTCAAGCACAAACATAAACTATTTTTATGTAGAATTTCTCAAGACAATAACTAACTAACAAACCAATTTACTAACACTAACTACATGAAGCAGAGTCATTTTTGAGAAAGTGGTAGTCACTGCCAATGGAGTGGGGTACATTTCTTATTGGCACGTTAAATTATTTTCCTGGTTTCTGATTATCATGCATGAATCAGCAGTGACCATAGGCACATGCCATGAATGGATATAAAATCAGAATTTAATATCACAACAGAAATGCATAAAATTTTAATTACCAAATTGGACAAAAGCATCTCTTTTCCTCTGATTGTTATCTAAATTATACGAGGTGCGATCGGAAAGTTTCCAGACTGCGCCTATAAAAACCCGTACACTTATCTCAGGTATTAAATTCATCCATCACCCTCGAAGTAGTTCCCCTGGGAGT